TCTACCTCAAGTTGAAATTTCTGGAAAGGGCTTGACATGATCATGCTTACTGTTTTTATAGTCATTATATTTCTTGATAGTATCACTTAACCACCCGAGTTAGCAGCGGCTCTGCGCGTCGTCCCTGGGCCGAACACCGCTCGGCGCGCTCTCCGCCGTGATGATGTCGCCGGCGGTGTCTACCGCTCCTGACGCACCTGCGGCCACGCCATACCGACACGTAGATCCGCGCAGGCGACGAGGGGAGACGGAGAAGGGTAGCGGTGAGTGATGGGGCGGGAGTGAGTGACAGGCGGATGTGTCGCATGGAGCCAATCTTGCATGGAGCCAACCTCTCGTGGAGCCGACTCTCTCGCTTTTCCGGATGCGCGTCACCATCTCACGGAGATGCGCGCACAATCGCACGTGCGTAAAATCATCGGCAGTCATCGAGGTCGGCTACTTACCATCAGTAGTCATCTCGTCGCCAAGAAGCCGAACAGATCGAGCAGTAGCCGTGGAGGCGAATGAAGCAAGAGTGATGGTGACGGCAGCAGGAGAACGAGAGCTGTAAGCAGACGTGCCATGATTACGAGCTACCAAAAAGAGAGTTGGACGAAAGAAGAGAGTTGGACGAAATTCAGAAGGGAGTTTGGAAGCGAGTCAATGAGAAGCGACGATGTGTAGACTGGTATTGGAAGGAAATATGTGAGTGGGTATTGGTATGGTGTGAAAGGGCGGATTGCGGTGGGTGTGAATGGGCTGAAGCGCAGTTGCTCATGCTCGGCGAGGTTAGCCACCATCGCCGAATCGCAACCGTCGGCGAATCACGATCGAGATGTTCGGTGAAACGCGTTCCAATACATGATTCGTTTTTATAAATCGATTGACTACGCAGTACAAGTTAGATGGTGTGGTACGCTACACAAGTGTTTTAAACGGTACGAAACGATTTGTCACGGTCTTTTTGATTTACAAACGCCTGCTGACCAAAATTGATCGCGTTCAATACAAATGTGACGCGTTTGGTGACCAGCAGTGGGCATTTCGGTCCCACCCAGACTGCCCACTGATGTTTCTCGTGGTATTGTATTTGTGTCTCGGCTACCGGGTGGAAGGATGGCTAGGGTGTGGGATCATTATTGACGCTTCGAAGCTGGAAGGAAATGTTCTTTTAGCTAAGGGCCAGATCTTTTGATCTTGAAGCTCATCTCCAGGCCGATCACCTCCGCAGTATCACAAACGTGCTGTAAGCTTTCATACTCGAGGGCAACAGCCAGCTCGGGAACATCACCCAGAAAAAAATATACCAAAGTTTTCTACGTCCAAGAACGGAATAAACAGTAAGTTCTAGGATCCTTCTATCATTGCAAGAAATGAAACTTGTGTTAATCTACATGTGAGCATCATGAAGTCACACGCGATACGAGATGGTAACATGCAGTAATGCCGAATACGCCTGTTATGAGTTGTAAATGAGTGTGCGCAAGTAAACGAATAACGAGACTGTGATCGAATGAACTGCGAATACAATGAAAGCACAGACTAATGTAGGAGCTAGCCTAGTTAGGAGGGAACCTCGGACGAGCGAGGTTGGGTGCAGGTTTGGCGATGGGAAAATGCCGAAGGCGACGCGAGGAGCCTCGGCAGCGTTGAAATCGGCCGAACGTGCAAAGTCCGAAAATCGGGGCTGTACGCGAAGCAGTCAACCCCGATAAGGAATTCGGAAGAAATCCTTACAACGCCTCTCAAGGTTCACTTCGTCAAGTGCGTATTTAACTTTCGGATCAAATCATTTGATGTCACGTGGCATTATGTTGACATGTAGAATCAGGAACCCCTGATTTTGAGCTGTACGGACCAGTAACAGAGAATTCGCGGAGAAGTTTTAGCTTCGCCCTTATGTACTCGGTAGTGACACGTATTATCGATATTAACCACCATTCTGAACAAAAACTCTTTCCTGATTTCGCTTCCTGTGTCATGGCTACACACATTGAGGAAACTGTACAGTGATAGTGGTCATGACACTTTCTCGTTAAGCAAACAGAATCCGCTAATGGGTATGCGCCTTACCCAGAAGTTGGATGCCACCCAGTATGCTTCCTGATTCCTCCTCCTCCAGCTTTCAGGCCTCGGGCGTTGGTCTCACTCTCAGGAGAAGCACATTTTGCTTTGCTCCCTCATTCGTTGCTGGAGACTCCCACATGATACTCATCTCGCTCGTTTTGTTTAGATACGTTGAGGCTGGCGTAAATTCCTCATACGTGAATTCAGTAGTATTCGGGGTGCAAGTCAGCTTGTGTCGTTCTCAGCTGCACTTTATTCCATATTACTCTCGAAAAAGAAGCTACCCTTTCTTAGCTTCGATTGTTCTTGACACTGCTCCCCTCATGCGCGGCTGAGAACTTCCACATCGCCGATCCGATTCCAGCATGGGTTCTGCGACATCTTGAGGCGATTTTCTTACCGGAATTTCAAACGGTTGAATTTAATCTCTTCGGTGTCGCAGCTAGAATACGAAAAGGGGTGAGCTCTCGGAGTTCATGAATTCGCGGTTACTTACCCGTCCGCGCTTTGGCCGTGGCAGCAGCAGCAGGAGTAGCAGCAGCAGGGAGACAAGATACAGCGCATTAGGAGCACGTTCGTGGGGGGTGCAGGGTCGGCGACAGCGGAGGAGGCGGAGAGAAGCGGGCTACGGGCAGGGGTGAGTGGGAATTGTCAAGAGACGGCGTCGCAGATGTGAGAATCGGGCTTTAATTTCTCGAAAATGGTGCGTTCATGCGCTTGCGTTCGTGCACCCGTTTATAGACGCATCTTGACTCCAATCCCGATGCCACGTGTGCAAGCGACGGCCCTTACAGTCACAGTCTCCTCCTCCATCGCCTCCATCTCTGCTGGTGACTGGGACGCCTGTGTGCTTGCTGGGTGAAGCTACAGCCTCCCCTCTGTTGTATAATGCTATCATTTGCATTCACGTCTGTCTGCCTCCCATCATGTGTTCGTACGTTGCATGCGTGGTGTTAGCGTGTGCAAGAAATTTGTGTTTTGTGTGGTTTGGATTTTCTGAGTATGTGTGAATGTTATTTGGCCTGAGCAGATATCTGAAGTGATTCATCTGCTCAAGAGCTTTCCGACGAGCCAAGAATCGTCGCGATCGGAGCAAGAACGAGAAAGTTACGGACATTGGAGTTCGTATGCTTTCTGTACTTTGGTTGCGGCGACTTTGGGAAGTTGTGGGAGTGACTCAATATGGGGTACAGACTTTTGGGGTTGGGAAATTCGGTCCCATCACTGTAGATGCTGCCATGTGGTTGGGAGAAGCCAAACCAGGTTGGCAAGTGTGGCCAAGTGGGAGTGAGGTGGATTTGGGAGGTTGGGAAAATGACAAGGGTGAAAGTTGGGTTGCCTATTGAGGAGGAAATTGTGTGGCACGGGGTTTTCTTGGTTGGGGACTCCCTTGGGACCTTCCCTCTCGTCCTCCTCTTCCCTCCCACCTGGTTTATTGGTACTCTAACTCTCTTGTGTGGAACTTATGGAACTTGTGAGTTAATTGTGATTGAGTTAAACTTCAATGGCAGCATACCCCCTAGTGCGCCGAAATTGATAACTCCAGATTTACTTCACCTTTTCGTACGATTCAAATTGGAAATTGTAGCCACGGACTAGAGCTACAACATAACCGAAATTTGTGGAGTTTTAACAGTGCGTTTTTCGTCGACGACGTTTCTTGTGAAGTCGACATTTCTGTCCAGAAACTAGGACCAACGATTTTGAGATATATTCGGCTCTTAAGCTCCTAGACTCCGTCCTTAGTCTCTAACACCCTCAAGCCCCCACCTATCCCATCATATCCACCCATTACTGTGTCCCCCTTGACATGCGTGATGTGTGCAGGACACTCCCATAACGGCGCTTACAGTCACAGTCTCCTCCTCCATCGCCTCCATCCCTGCTGCTGACTGGGACGCCTGTGCGCTCGACGCGGCGGGCGGCGTGGAGAAGCACAATCCGTTTGTGTCACATGCGTTTCTGTAGTGCCTGGATGAGAGCAAAAGCGCATGCGCGAGGAGGGGTGGTTACCACAACACCTCATTGCGAGAGACGCGGAGGAGAGGGTGGTTGGGGTAATGCTCTTGTTTATAAAAAGGTTCGTATGTGTGGGTGCGCTCTTAGAAGGGTAAGGGTGTGTGGCTTAGTAGGTCGTTTAGGATTGGTGATGGGGGGGAAGAGGGGCGAGGTGGTTATCACAGCAGACATGAGGATGGTTAGGGGCGGCGATTAGAAGCACAACCCGTTTGTGTCACACGCGTTCAGCCCGTACTATCGTAAGCTGCTGCCCGGCCTGCCCTTCACCCCACCACGGACCTGTTCACTAGGCGGTGCTGTAGGGTTTGTGCCAGGGCGTGAAGCAAGTGGCGGATGACGTTAGGGGCGGCATGGCACAGCACGGCATGGCACGGAACGGCATAACATGGCATGGCATGGCACCATATGGCATAGCCCATAGCCCAGCAGAGCGGCGCAGATACACACCCTCCTTTCCTTCCTCCCCGCTCATCTCGCCCTTGTGCCCAGCGGTACGAGGTGTAGTCTGTGCATGGGCACCACGCAGAGACCGACTAGCAGGTCGTAGCCCACCATGGCTTTCTGTAGCGCGTGATGGCCGAGCAATACTGTGGGATGTTGTTTGCAGACCTCAAATTCGCACCGCCCCATGAAGTGAGCAGAAGGTGTTACAACCATATTCCATTGCATTGCTGATCGAAATCCAGGCACATCATCTAAAATTCACCTCACCCAAGCATCCACCCAAGAATAAACACCATACTACGTACAAACACCAACGTAGCATAAATTAACACCCACGCCGCAGAAGGACCATATACGCACATGAGCATTGCTAATATCCAAGGGTCATGCGTGCTACTATATGATCACAAGGCTAATATCCATTGTAGCTGGCAGAAGCACCCTCCATACAAGCTTCTAACAAGCATCACTCTCTCACCAACATGCAT